ATATTAATATTTATATTAATTAATTTTAATGTTAAATGCCAAATGACCCCTGTTTTGAAAACTTTGTGCCTACTAATGATACAAGCAACTTCTCAGGATGCTATAAGAGGAGGAACTAGTTCAGGGAATTTAACTTTCTTGTTCTAGTGCACTGCAAAAAATGTGGACTTCACCATCTGGTCAGCTTCTGGGGTGTGTTTTTTGTGGTGTTTCTTTTTTTTGCCATCTGTGCTTGCCTGCTGCTTTATAGGGAGGTTAGGCTTTTAAGGTTGTTTTTACTGATAACCATGGGTATTGGTTGTTTTTCATGTCTAATCTTACATCTTTACATGAATGGAAAAAAACAGACAACATTGTAGGAATTCTTCGCTGTTCTTTCTGAGTAACAATATTGTGGTCTTTAATTTAAAAAATTATTTTTACTGGTTTGTTGCAATCAAATCTCTATACTACACTGAAGAAGCTTTTTCTTAATTGTTGTTAGAATGTTCTTGTATGGCTCGTAAGAGTAGGTGTCTTTTCATTACTTTATCTTCAGCTTCCATGCGGTTGACTTCCTCTGATTTGAATTAGTGTTTTCGCTTCAGTGCATGTCATAAAAACTGTATGTTGCATTGTAGGTGGTGAAACTATTAAAAGCATAAGCCAGCAGTCTGGTGCTAGAATAGAACTTCAAAGAAATCCTCCACCTAATGCGGATCCAAACATGAAGATGTTTACTATCCGTGGAACACCCCAGCAAATAGATTATGCACGACAACTTATAGAAGAAAAGATTGGAGTGAGTGTATAACTATATTTTGGTTTACTATTGTCACTAAACAGAATAGGAAGGGAGTCTCCTTTGTGGAGACTTTTCTTCCCTTTCACTTCCAAATTATGTATTCAGATAATAAATTCATAATAATAAATGGTAATCTGGGTTTAAAGTAATATAAACATAACTTCATGCACCAAAAGAAGCAAAAACTTGAAATGGAAAGAAATAGTTGCTTTCTTCAAAGTAACATAGTGTATTTTTTAATGATGTGTTCTTGAAGATGCCCACTTTGTGCATAATGAAAAATTTGATTACTTCAAAGGTGTCCTTTATTGTTAAAGCTGCTAAACCGTGTGTTCTTTGGTCTCAGTATGTTTACACAGAGTTTTAATCCAAGTTTACACTCTTTAAATTCACTGCATTTTGTTTGCTGGTGTATGCATGTAACCAAATTTACTATCTGTTTTTTGTAGCTGATCTTACAAACAGATGTAATTAGCAAGATTAGGCAGATTTAGATCTATCAGTTTATTTTAAGACACTGATAGTCTTATTCTAGTTTGTGGGGGTTTTTAATGCAACTTCTGGAAAAATCCATGTTTATTTGTAAAATTCTTTGTTTCATTAAGAAAGAACTGAAATAAATGCAGCTTTTCAGTCACTATTACTGCCACAGCTGCTTTTAACTCTTTTTTTTTAACTATCCATAAGCCTAATTAATCTTCAAAAAGACTGTTTTCTCCAGGAAAATGTCTTTATTTAAAAACAGTCAAACCTTTTAGATTATATTCTTAAAGTGTTCAATTTTATGCTTCTTAACTGCTGAAAAATGGAGAACTTCAAGGTTTATTTTCGTCTGTGTGTTACTCTTGTTACAGGGTCCAGTAAATCCATTGGGTCCACCTGTTCCCCATGGGCCCCATGGTGTTGTTCCTGGCCCACATGGACCTCCTGGGCCACCAGGTCCTGGTGCTCCCATGGGACCATATAACCCAGCTCCTTATAATCCAGGGCCTCCTGGCCCTGCACCTCAGTAAGTACTTCTTCAGCTAGCTTCCTTTTTTGTAGGGTGACACTGGGACTGGCTTTCACTGTATATGTATGACTTGATCTTTTATAGTGGTCCTCCAGCTCCATATGCACCACAAGGATGGGGAAATGCTTATCCACACTGGCAGCCACCAAATCCACCAGATCCAGGTAAAAAAAGTCACAGTTGTACTGCAGTGTGGATATACTTTGAGTACATCCGTTTTGTTCTTACAAGTATACACGTTTCACAGTTCATTCGTGTTACACTGGTAAATCTGAAAAACCTCCTATTCTTCAGGCTTTTCTTTACTGATTGTCAGTTGACGTATGTTTTACACTTCCTACATATTACTTGTGAGATGTTGAAATTCAGTTGTTACAGTTGGAATATGCTTCTTTACTAAACATGATTGATACTGCATCCCCATGTGTGATACTTTTTGCAAGACTCTTGGTTAACTGATTTTGTGCAAATCGGTTCATTTTTCTTACAATGGATGATTTTGTATAAAGTTCTTTAATGAGGA